GCGTACAGCTTCAGTCTAGCTCCTCTTCTGTTGTCCCCTCTTGCAGCAAAGTAATTAGATTCAGACTGCAGTCTACTATCATTTGGATGGGCTGATCTCGGAACCAAGAAGTTGCTCTTATATTTTCAGTCTTCTTCACCCATATTTTCTTTGCTACTATTCACTGGACTTCCCATTCTGTAGGCCACTTTCTCCACAGGAGTCTGTAAAAAAGCTGATGTTCTATCAATTCTGCATCCATGTCCAAACCTTCTTAGTTTGCACTTTTGTATTAATCTCCAACTGTAGGTTGTCACTGCATCTCAATCTGATAGTATCATTGAGATGGACACGCAGGGATATTCTCCAGATAGGTCCTATAATTTTAAAACGCATCAAAATTTAACTAGGTTTGCTTTTAACAGCGTCCACATCTCAGACCCATATAGCAAGACTGGGAGAAGATTTAAATATTTCTTTTCACTGAAACATTTCGTTTTCTCCCCATGGACCCGTTTAATTATCCAAGATAGCAATGCTGGCAAATTCTGGACTACATTTCTGCTTTTGATGATGTTTTCTGTTCTTCTGCTGACTACCGGTGACTCAAGATATTTAAACTGGTTAACCTGCTCTATTCTAGATTCTCTTGAGGAAGACAGCAGACTATAAAATTGCTGTTTTGTTGGCATTAACTTTTATTGTATCACTGGATATACTGTATGTGTTGGCAGTATTCATGGTATCATACGAGATGTCTGTAACTCCTGGGTCACTGTCTGCAACTATGGCACTGTCACTGGTGAACATAAAGTCAGTAAGTAAGTGGTTCTCATTGTGTACCCCTTGCCTGCCTTTCCTTTCCTCCTTATAACATCAACTAAGACACTAGATAGCAGGGAAGAGATTACACAGCTCTGCCTAACACCAGTTGGGATTAGGAATCCCTCTGAAGTTTTCTTGCACCACACCAAATAAATAATCTATTTTGTCAAAGGAAGAAATCAAACACTGCTTTTGTGTCTTTTAAAGAATTGCATTTACACAGAGGCCCCCATTTACTATGCCTGAAAATCACCAGCCTAGCTTTCACCAATAAGCATCTCATTAAGGTAGTGTGCTTACACGTTGTGGACATTTTTGTACAATTGTCTATTCCTAAAGCCTCAGCAGATGGAAGCATCAGTCTGGGCCAAGAAATTAAGAAAAGCTGGAACGGATTAAGAAAAACTGGAACTACTTGGATGGGAAATTATTAGGGCTGTAGGCTCAATTGGGAAGTCAAAAAACACCCCCCCTCAAAAAAAATACTAATGGCAAATCACCTTCACAATGCTGCATGGGTGTTAACAAGGTGGAAATTTTATCTTTCATTTACAGTACCTTTATTTAAATGAATTTAGGCATTGCCCAGCTCTGAATAACACTGGACAGCTCACAGTGTAATGTGATAAAAAAACCAAACCAAACCAAGATGGGATCTGGTCATTATATACAGTCAAAAACAACAAACACCCACTCAGTAAGGGGTCCCATCCATCTCAGCCCAAGTCCTGGGAGAACAACTAAGTCTTCCAGGCTTAACTGTTTACAGAATGTCACTGATATTTGTTACCATGAAGCTTCTGCTAGTGAAAGCTTAGCCAGTGGACATACTAACAAGATTCTTTGCTCCAATCGGTCATAATGATGACTCTTATGTAAAAATGGGGAGGATGCTCTTTACTTAGATTATGGTAATGCAAAGATACACAATTTTTCATTGCATACACGTAGTCCTCGACTTACAACAGTTCATTTAGTGACTGAAGTTACAAGATTGAAAAAAGTGACGTAAGACCATTTTTCACATGACTGTAACAGTAACATGATCAAAATTCAAATGCTTGGCAACTGACTCATATTTATGACATTGTATTGCATTGTATTGTATTAAGGTGTCTTTAACTCAAAATTTCTTCCAAGTAAATTGGCATTTCACATAAAAAATCAGCATGAACAACTTTCCCAAAGCATAGCATATTTCTAATGATTCCTCTGCAATTATTTATTCCTTTGCAATTATCCTTCTGCAGATATGTAAGCTCTTGATTGCAGCCGTGTGTTCTAATCCAACAATATGTTCAAGGAGCCATGCATCATGATGGAGTGTCAAATGCAAGCATTCTGCCTTGATTCTTGGGCTACTTTTACACATTTTATTTTATTTATTTGTTAAATTTATTTGTTGCCTAACTCATTGTAGGGCTTACAACAATAAAAGGAAGAAATAAAAAGAGTGTAAACAGAAGACAATAGAATGATGAAATAAACAAGGAAAAAGAACACAATGAGAATAAATCAATATAATAATCAAAAATATATGGATGGGTCGAGAGAACAAGAGAACAAGCAGAGAACAAGGATTGGATGTGGAGTCTGCCATCAATCCAGCAAGATTTGGTTTTGTGGTTGAAAAATTTGATTCTTCCAAATTCTGAAGATGCTGCATTTATTTTTCTTGCTGTCTGCTGTGACTTGGTTTCTAAAAAGTTTTTGCTGATTGAATCACTCTGACATTCACATCCATGTTGAACAGAATACTGCTTTTGATACATGCAAATAGCTATTGTTATCAAAGATTCTGATTGCTGTGCAGATCACTATTGCTTGGAAAAGTTATTATAGCCAAGAATGTGAAGGGAATATACTTCAAAGAGATTTTGGAGCAAAAGTGTTTTATTCATTTGATGTTTACTGTTTTAGATCAGGGGTCTTCAAACTTGGCCCTTTTATAAGTTGTGGACTTCAACTCCCGGAATTCCTCAGCCAGGCATGTCCACAAGTCATAAAAGGGCCAAGTTTGAAGACCCGTTTTACATGATTAGATCTAACTGGAGTAAATGGCCAGATAGATCCAAAATATAATAAATACTTCCTTGAGAAAAGGACTTCCAACACCCACCTATTTCTTGAGAAACATGCTAAAATATATGATGAGACAATTCCAATCCCTTCCAAGCTATCTTAGAAAATTTGAATATATTTATGATATGGGGATAAATCTGATACAGAAACAGTCTTGGTCACGCTGAACAATAGTCTGTACTGGAAGAGGGGCAGGAAGCCCTGTTAGTTAAGATCCTTAGAGATTTGCAGAAAAGGGGAAATGTTGGTGTGAATGCTGTAATAAGCCATCATATTATGGAAGTTCTGCTGACTTTTGGGGGCCAGCTCTGGTTCAGTAGAACTAAAAGTTGGAAAGCGTTGGTTGCTTCAAGTTTCATACAGAACAAAATCTGTACTGGGCAAATTGTGTAATATTGGTGTATGCTACACTCCCCAGCTCTTAGAATAGCACACTTAACTAGTATGCCTATCCTCCAATCTTCCTGATACCTTCTATCATCTTCCTTTATTCTGCCCAGATTTTCCTAGCACCTTCCTTTTCTCTCTCTCTTGCTGCCACCAATGCTGATGATGCAGCTTCTCCTATCTTCCTAGAACTTCCTTTTCTTTGCTTTCCTTCCTGTCTCTCCTCAGCCACCAATGTCCTTAGCTTTTCCTTAGCTCCTGCCAACTACTTTCCCCGTAATTAAACAATTCTTTAATTCCATGCATGGAGCAAAAAAAGTCTGTTTTGTTTCGTGCATGAACCAAAGCCTCCAAAACAGGTGTGTTTGGGTTTGGAAACAGACCATCTGAAACCAGCTGTTCCATGGATGGAGCTGTTTGTGCATGGGATGTTTTTCACATTCCTACTTTCAGTCACAGATGATAGATATGGGGGGCACTTTTCTGGGTTGGCAGGACAAAGTTTTAGTGATTCATAAGCCCAGAGTCGCTTCAGAGTGAGATGGGCAGAATATAAAATTTAAACAAAGAAACAAACATTATAATATTTAGCTTTGCTCCTTGGCATTTATGCATCGTTTTTTAAACATACATAAAACCACTGATTAAAGTAATTCAGGGAACTGGGGTTAAGTATTATCAGAGTAATTCCTCCTTACTATATTAGCCAGATAATTCAGTGTACATGCTGAATGAGTATCTGGGACCTGCAGTACTCTAGAACAGTGGTTCCCAACCTTTCTGGCTCCAAAATAAAAGATTTTATATTACTGTATTTTTATTGGCTGCAGATATACAGTAGTCTGAAATTTTATTCATGATGATATCAATCTTAAAAAAAAAGTAAACGCTTTGGGCCTAGGAAGTTTCAAAAATCAGATTCCTATTATCAAATATTACTTATTTTAAAAAGGTCTAAGACAACCCTTTTTCTGTTGGACTATAGTATACCAAATGCCAGACAAGTGAATACCCTATAGTTCTTTAAAAACTTTGGTCTCAGTCTTCTCTAGCTGGCATGGCCAATGGCAAGGGATTAGAGAAGTAGTTGTCCAAAATATTTTATTAGATTTTTATCTCACCTTAAGTACTTTATAGGTAACTCAAGGCAGCGAACATACATACAATTTCTTCCTCCTCCTATGTTTCTCTGTAACAACCGCTGCACTTTTGGGCTGAGAGAATATGACTGGCTCAGTCACCCTTGGTTTTTATGCCAAGGCAGGACTAAAGTGCACAGTCTCCTGATTTCTAAGCCAGCACCTTAGACACTTCACCAAATATCTGAAACGGATTACTTATTTATAATACAGAATAATATATTATATAATGATATAAATTATATAAGTAATTTATATTACTTATTGCTGTTTTTGGATGTCTGAATAGCTTTCATTTTTAACTCTTCTGTCTTGCCTCCTTTCTCTTGCTGGCACAGTTTAAATTATTAAGTACTATTTCTGTTGCTTGGACTATTGGGGTTTCCACATCTGGAAGAGCAAAGTATATCCATAAACGGATAGCAATATCCGTGTGGAACAGAAAGCGTGAAAGCGCCGTTTTTCCGTCGCAAACTATGGATACTCTCTGGCTTTCTCACACAGGACTCGGCGGACGAGAGCCCAAGCGTGAGCTTCCCCTCTTAAGGACAACAGCCATGTGTCTGCTCAAGTGTGATTAACACTCACTTGCCAAATCTCTCCTTGGGCCATTTGGAGCTTGCACGCGTCCACGCTCCCTGTTTACTCCGTTGCAGCTTTCACGCGCGGCCTTTTTGTTTACCTCTCCGGCAAACGAGATAAGGTGGCTGGGAGGCTGTTAAGCAATCGTTATAAAAACCCCTCGGGCGGCAGCCGATCCACAACCCAGCGCGGGGAGGAGAGGAAACACAGACTGCCAGCATTTTACCGGTGGGTTGGCTGGGCTGAGAGCGGCCAGAGTCAGAGCATGGAGACTTCGCCGCTCTGCCTTCACAATTCTCCGCCGCTTGAAACCGCAAATTCCCGGATCTGCTCGAAAGACTCCTCAGGGTAGCTGAGCTCAATCACCACGTAATGGGCAACCTGCGCTTAAGAGCAAGCATTGGGGCGGGGGGAGATCCCCATCTTTTCCAGCTGCTTCCTGATCGCGCGGGAAAAATGGAGCCAGTCCATCTGTGATCCCAGGACCTGCTGGAAGCTGATTTTTTTTTTTTTTTTACTGCGCCTTATTGCCAAATCGCGGCTAACGCAGCGTGTCTAATACATTTGCAGGTCCGAAGGATTCTGGAGACCTTGGGTCCTCACCCCAAAAGACGCCGAAAGACTACGTGTGCAAAACGTTCAGGTGAGTGTATCCCGGACCTCCCAATTATGACAGCCCTTCCACGTGGACTTATGCTGCAGGAGCCGGTCTTCTTTAGTTGACTAATTCAGTGTTCTTTCACTTCGAAGTATGGTGAAAGGAAGGAAATGTATGGTATTAAACAATTGCCACTATTTCGAGACTAGAGATATTGGCACATTAACAATAATAAAGATCTCACTGCATTCCACAAAGAACCCTTTTTTAAAAAACAAAACAAAAAACAAAACCACAAAGGACCCTTTTTTAAAAAAACAAAACAAAACTAGAAGGCTGATTTATGGAGCAAAGGATTTTCCTTACTAAATTAAATTTGCATATAGGGCTCATGTGACTGAAATATAATTCCTAAATTGATTATGTCTTTTGGCAATGTAATATATCAATTTATGCTGGGCACTATGAAAAGGCAGAAATTTATTAATTTGTATTTTAAGATTTATGATTTGGCACAATCAGGAGAGGGAAAATAACTGTGCATGTTGCATTAAGGTGCTTTGGGTGCTCTGACTAATATGAAATCCAATATTTACTTTGATATTACTGGGTGACTCTGGGTTAGTCACACTTTTTCAGCCCAGCCCACCTCACAGGATTCTGTTGAAGAAAAAAAAACTGGAAGAAAGAGTGCCTACTTCTTGGACAAAAGGCAGGAAACAAACATATTTAATAATAATATTATTTATTTTATTATATGCTACCCAGAGTCATGTCCCTGAAATGGGTCGCTTTGATTTGATTAAAAAATGGATACTTGATTTGATTAAAAATGGATACTGTAAATATTAAATAATAATTTCAGATTTGTTCCTTTTGAAAGTATCATAAATTTCAACCATTCTGTTGATCTTTATTTCCTTCTCTAGTTGCACAGTCCTGATGCTACAGAAGACTCTGTAAAACTCACACAATATACTCACCCAGTGAGGTAAGATAAAACAATTTTATATTTTCCTAAAACATAATATTAGTGAGACTCTCAAGATTAATCTTTTCCATTTTTCTCAGCAGGGTTCTTGTGCCCTAAAAAGCTACCTATTAGAAAAAAAAATCCAATAGGTAAAGCCCTCAATTGGATATATTTTCAGGTAGTAATTAATTATACAGAAAGGTGTCAAGAAAAGTGATAGGATTGTATGTAAGAGATTTATTCCTAATAGCGTCTGAAATCCCACAAAATTTATCAGGGCTTAAACTAGCAGCTAGAAGGTCTCCGTGTGGTTTTGGTTCCCTCTCTCATTCTCTCTCTCTCCTCTCTTTTTCATTCTCTCATTCTCTCGCTTACTCAGTTTCTCTCTTGTTCTCTCATTCTCTCTTTCGTTTTCTCTCTCTCATGCTCCCTCTCTTGTTTTATCATGTTTTTTCTCTTTCTCATTTTCATTCTCATTTTCTCTCTCTTTTTCTTTCTTGTTCTTTCTCGTTCTCTCTTTTGTTACCTCTTTTGTTTTCCCTCATTTTCTCTTTCATTTTCTCTCTCTCTTTTGTTCCCTTTCTCTCTCATTCTCTCTCTCAGCCCAATCTATTTTACAGTGTTGTGTGTGGAGAAATAGGAGTACTGCTTCTGTATGAAAGGCAGAATATAAATAGAACAAAATATAACATCAATAAATAATTGATGTAGTTTTCTCAACAAGATTTTTCCATATTTTTGGCTTCTTAAATTTATTAGTCTAGCTCAGGGGTAGGCAACCTTGGCTCTTTTATGACTTGTGGACTTCAACTCCCAGAATTCCTGAGCTGACTCAGGAATTCTGGGAGTTGAAGTCCACAAGTCATAAAAGAGCCAAGGTTGCCTACCCCTGGCCTAGCTGTTAAGACACTGGGCTTGTTGGCCTCAACAAGTTGAGATGAAGGAGCAGAGAACAACTCGTGCAACACATAAACGTAAAGAAAAGGAGCAACAGAAGAAGGAGGTTAAGGAAGCCTCACAAGTATTGGTTCCTGAGTCTGTGGGAGAAGCAAGATTTATAAACTTTTTGGAGCAACCTTTAAGGGCAGATTTTAAAGCACTTCTTTCGAGGTTTATGGATAAGAGAGACTGATAAGGAATGTGTTTATTGTGGATGGAATTGGTTATTGGTAAAGATTTAAATATGTATAAGGGAATTTTAATGTTTTAAGTAATGTTTAAATTTGTGTTTTGGAGGGAGTTTATAAAGAATGATGGATAATAATATAAGTATGATATTAGAAAATGTTTAGAGTATATTATAATGTGTTTAATGATTGTAATTATAAAAAAAATTTTGGTTTTTTTTATTATTATTTTTAAGAGAAGATAACTTGTTTAATTTAATGTATTTAGATTTGCTTAGGATTTATATGTGTTTTAAGTTTTTTTTTGATAGGAGAGAAGATTATGGAGATCGAATGAAAAATTTTAGATAAGAAGTTTAAGTTTAGCAACTTAAGGACTATTCAAAAGAGTATTTAGTCTTAATGGTATAATGAATGTTTATATGTTTATTTTTGTGTCTTAGGATAAAGAAAGAGGGAGAGATTAGATTTTATATTGTATGTATAGATATCTAAGGAGTATTTAAAGGAACATTTTGCTTTAAATATGTATAAGGGAATTTTAATGATATTAATTTTAATTTCTAATGATATTAGAAAATGTTTAGAGTATATTACAACGTGTTTAATGATTGTAATTATTATTTTTAAGAGAAGATAACTTGTTTAATTTAATGTATTTAGATTTGCTTAGGATTTATATGTGTTTTAAGTTTTTTTGAAAAATTTTAACTAAGCCTGTACTCAGCTCTGGGAAGGTTGGGGGAGGGTATGGGAGGTTTGGGGAGATGGGGGAGGGTATGGGAGGGTTGGGGGGGTTTGGGGAAGGGAATTGTTTTGCAAAATTTGAAAATTTTCAATTAAAAAAAAAAAAAAGACACTGGGCTTGTTGACCGGAAGGTTGGCAGTTCAAGACCCAGGAGCCGTGCCACAGGGTGAGTTTTTGTTATTTACCCAGCTACTACCTGCCTAGCAATTCAAAAGCATGTAAATGCAAGTAGATAAATAGGTACCACGTCGGTTGGAAGGTAACAGCGTTCCATGTGCCTTGGTGTATAGTTATGCTGGCCACATGATCACAGAAATGTCTTTGGATAATGCTGGCTCCCTCAGCTACAAAATGGAGATCAGTACCATCCTTAAAGTTGTACACAACTGGTCAGAGAAAACCTTTACTCTTTTTTTAAACTATAGATAGTCCTCGACTTACAATCATTTACTTAGTGACCATTTGAATTTATAGCTGCACTGAAAAAAGTGACTTATGACCACTTTTCACGCTTATGATCATTGCAGCATCCCTATGGTCATGTGGTCAAAATTTGGGTTCTTGCCAATTGGCATGTATTTATGACGGTTGCAGTGTCCCAGGATCATGAGATCACTTTTTGTGACAATATGGAAGCTAGATTTGCTTAACAACTATAATGATACACTTAGCAATTGTGGCAAATGAGGCAAAACTCATTTTTACAACTGTCTTGCTTAACAAACAAATTTTGGGCTCAGTTGCGGGCATAAGTCGAGGACTATCTGTATTCCGAAGCCTTAAGAAGTTTTTCTCCCAGTGTCTTCCACATTTACAGTATATGTTGTTTTAATTTTGTGGTGTTAGTGATGTTCTCTTATGTCTTTATTCTTTTCAGCATATGCAATAGCAGTTACAATAGATGACTTTTCATCTGGGTTGGAGCCGACTATGTCATTTGACAGAGTGTCTTTTGAACTAATTAGAAGACAGCAAAATATTATTATTTTATTATTTTTATACATTTATTGCCTGTGAAAAGAAGAGGCAATTAAAATACATTTATTTTTGAAATAATGTTTTTACTTTAGTATTATTAAATTGATGTGCTGCCCATCTTGCTATCCCAAACACTCTTCTTATTTCAGAACAGACTTGAAGGATTTTCTGTCTTAAGTGCTAGAAGAGTTTAACTTGCTGTTGGGATTCTGAATTTTGACTGGGAGAGCTGTTGTTTTCTGCACACCTAAATGTCTTAGGTCCTGGTTCTACCATGTCACAAACCTGCCCTAGTAATATCTTTTTCTGCCATGTTTCTTGGATGTTCCTTGCCATGTTCCTTCATCTTCACCCCAGCCTCTAAGTGGGACAGGCCAACCTCTTCCCTAGTTCGGCTGGTATTATGATAGCATTTAGTCTGGCTCCCTCCAGGGACAGTTTCATTTTCAGTGTCACCCCATCATGCCACAGATTCTGCCCCTTTTTATGCGCATCCGAAAGGGGAGAGCTGGCGATGTGACAATGTCATACGGCTTCCACTATTTCAGTGGAACTGTTGGACCCTACAAAGGCTTCTACTCAAATTGGCATAAAATCTGTTAAGTTTTATCATATGACCTTGGAGGAAAACTAAGGCACACAAGTGATTGGTAAATGAAACAACAAAGCATTTAAGGTTTGCGAGCAGTTTTTGTGAATTCAA